GAACAACTTTTGTATTTCTTATAAATTAAAAGTAAGCGCTAACGATATTGAATAAATTGTAGTATAAATTGTTATGATAAATATAACAGAGCAGTTCAAAGCGCAAAATCCACCACATAATATTCCGAATGAACTATTGAATCGTTTCAAAGAACAAATCATAATGAGAGATGTCATATTTGCTATAAAACCCACAGTTCCCATCTGTAATAAAACTATTCGGAGTGAAAATTACAAATGAGTTTGGTAGAGTCTAAGTCTGTTGAAAGTTCAAATAATAATTGAGAAAAAGACATACCGACAGTGTTGACCACAAATTCATAGTACGATTTCGAGAATCTTCTTCGTTAAATGACATCTAAAATGACAGTAAGTGAATATTTTAGGATATTAGATTCACCCATTAATCATGACAAGTCAGATTTTTAGATCCAAAAAAAACACGAGTGGTACCAGACTATTTTTATATCACAGTTAAGGCACAAATAAGAATTAAAATTGTTTCCGTCATGAGCACCATGCTTTATTTTTAATGTTTGCTTCCAGAAGACCTAAGCAGGGAGAAAAGTTCCGATGTATTCCACTGGAAAATGAAAAGCAATGACCAACAATGCAACAGCTCTTATCCAATCGCAAAATGTTCTATGATTAAAAGTAATCAAATTTTTCATTTTTCAAATGCATTATGGCGATATTCGATGAATTTAATAGTTTCAATTAATGATTAATAATTTAATTTTTACTTTTAACTTTACTTTTTAGACTAAACTAAAGAAAAGGCTTAATGTATTCCTTTCAATAAATGAAAATATTTTGTTCCACGAAATGGTAAATTGAAATTAAAAGCTCTATCATTAAACTAAATTCTTAACTTGAATTTCGATTCCAAGCAAAATTTTTTTTGGAAAAATTATTTAATTAAAACTGAAGCGAAATATTATCAATTTTTGACAAATCTTCGCAGAAAATTTACCTTTCGCAATTTATATGTATAGTTTTCCACTCAAAAATTTGGTTAAAACCCTCAAAACATGAAAAAAAGACGAATTATAGTTAGGAGAATTTAATACAATTCTTTATTAAGCAGCTGTTCTGGGGTACTATTTGATAAGGCTTGTTTAAGGCTTATAAGTCTGATATTTTCGCGGTTGTAATTTTGAAATTTTTCGCAGTGAGAAGAAATTGATTCCTCCTATGTCTTCCACTGAGCCAAAAATTTTCGTTTTCCGAGTTATCTCTTGCTAATTACTATAATAAGCGCTAAAGAAGATCCTTATTGAGCATTTAAAAGATACATCTTCAAATAATAAAAATAAAAATAATATAAATATGAAAATGCACAATATACAATGTAAATAAAAATAATATTGCATAAATAATAATATTATATTATAAAAATAATAATATTTGAAGAAAAATGAACCAAAAAATTTGGCTTTAGAATAGAATTTTTTTATTTATTTAATTTTTATTTAATTTATTTTTATTTAATTGTTTTATTTTAAAATAGAATTTTAGAATTTAAAAATCATAAAATTTGAATAAGACGCTTGAAATATTTGTAATATTTGCAATAATTATTAATTAATAAATATCCCTTGTAAAATAAATTTTTTTAATTTGAGATACTTATATAAGCTCTCAGAGGTTGACGCAAATCACTTAAATTAAATAAATCATTATTCCACTAGATTCAATTAAAATTTATTTTCTAAAGCTTAATTAAATTCCTTCACTTTTAACCAATAAAAGTGCAATCACTTTTCAGTTACCTTCAGCGCAATTACCTTCAATCACTGATATTAATTTTTCAACCTCATTTGCCGTCATTTATATTTAATCGTTGTTCATATAACCATATATCGTCTAAACATTCAAATGATTTAATCATAAACGTAGCGCCATATTTGATTTATGAAAACTTCAAAACCGCACAATTATTTTAATCATTTAAGAAATTAGCTAACCAAAGTTCAATGATTCAAAGATGATTGGAAATAAAGTTAAAATTGCAATCTTTATGATCTTCTCATGGAAAATTATATTTGAAACAAATAAAAATTTCATAAAAATGTTGGCTTCCAAATAATTGAGCATTTCGTTGAGCTTTGCGATTCATTATTACAAACTTTTTTATCAAAAGTTTTTTTCTTTTTTTTCTTTATTTTAATTTTTTACTTTTTTTACTTTTTCTTTTTTTTACTTTTTTATCATCAATAAACAATTTTTATCAAAATTAGAATCTTTATCATCAATAAACAATTGGAATTTCACATAGATATTTTATTAACCCTTTTCTTGCATCCGATTTGCTGATATTTAACAACAAAGGCAGTAAATGAAGATGGCGAATTTGTTTTCTATTTCATTTGCTTTATAATAAATTAGCCAAACGAGAAATGGTCAGTGCCAATGGAATAAATAGGAAAGGTATGCATACTTAGAACTTTATCTACTCTATTGACTTTTACTAAAATTTTTCTCTAGATTTTTTTCTGACAACTTAAAAAATGAGCAATTTATTGCACTGGATTGGTTTTTATGCATCTTTTAGTGGCCACGGGTTGTGTTTTAGCCGTTCTTTAATCACCTCAATTTAAGATAAAAAATTTAGAGAGATAAGCAAATGGAACATCGAAGATGCGGAACATTGTACGTTGCCTAATCTTTTCTTTATTGAAAAACATGGCAATAATTGATTTGAATGTTCTGAACATTAAATGATTAACAAATGGCTGACCAATGTATTCCCATTACTTATTTTTCTGTAATAGAATATTTGCAATGCATATTCAATAGTTTAATTTCGTTAAATGTAAGTAAAGAACTAATGAAATAATTCAAAACATAATTTGCCTTCATATTTCATTCCTACGCAAAGAGATTTTATTTATTGACTATCGTAATCTTTCTTTCTTTTTCTAATCTTATTTTTTTGTGTCATAATTGGTTTTTTTGCATTAAATTGCTCAAAAAGTCATAAAGATACCATTAAAGAAAGGATTTCAATCAAAAATAATGTAATCAGTTTTAGAAGTAATCAATTCGGGGATGGCTTGAAGCACTATTATTTTGAGGGCGAACGTCTTATCACATCTTATCATTCTTAATATAATAAACTTCTAATTTAAGGATCTCAGCCAATTAATAATTGATAAAGAAAATATATCTCAGATTATCAAATATATCTCAGATTATCGATAGCGAATACAATTCGAAAAAGCAGAATTATTTAATTTATGGTAAAACCTTAATTCGTAATTAGTTAGTTGTAATAGGCCAAAAAGTTTAATGAATCTTTATTAAAGAAAAAATTAGCAACGAGGCTAACGTTTCCCTAATCTGCAAAAAATTATGAGACTAAATCTATAAAAAACACAATAACTTTCAGTAGGGAAAATGTCTAATTGAAAAAAAATGATGGAAACATTGATTAAAAAATTTATTTTTATTTTTTGAATATAAATCGCTCCTGACTCTCGACTTGGAAATAATAAATAGTGCAGAAGTAAATGAATTCCACTCTTTTAATATCGATTTTCATGCTTCGGTATTTGGATTGTTTATTATTGATGAAGTATAAGATTCAAGATTATAACGCTTGTTAGCTTGCAAACTAAAAAGTAGTAAGCGCTAACCAATCCTGGTTAGGTTTTTACACAGAAATTTTTGAGAAATATGGTAAATGGCGATAGAAACAAAGAGTGGCCGCCAGCAGCATGGATCCTTTAATAATAGGTGTGACTGTTGGAAGTAGCGAATCAAAAATGCGCGATGCTAATCGAAACAACCACCTTAGTTTTCTTTCCTGTAATGTTCGGAAAGAGAAAATTATTCATGAGCTCAACTCCTATTTATTTATCTGCTGAAATTATTGACTTCAAATCTGAACGATGCAATACACTTCGTCCAGCGGAAGTTTTGACCGAATAGCGGGGAAAGCAAAAGAGGATAAAATGACTCAGCTGTTCACTTCTAGCGCCTTTTACTCTCGGCAGAAGTAAATCTGTTCTTTAAAAATCATGGCCATACCGGCACTTCACCTATTCTATTGCAAGGTAACTCGCTAGATTTGTCTGGCTCGATAAGCCATGTATGATGAGCTCGTAGACAGAAAAATAAAAGATCAAATTGGAAATAATAATTTAATTTTAATCTTGATTTTGGAATACAGTATCAATTTTCCTCCAGCAATGAAAACATACTTATGCACCATTCTTAATAAAAGTTCGACTGCTGTAAAATGCTGCTGGCACCTCTTAATTCGATGATCCAATTCAACCACATTTGCTGATATCTTCAATTTCCGCTACAGTTACCGAATCAATCTACTAGGCATCTCCAAAAAAATTTTCGCTTCCCTTTTATTCAATAGATCTATGCCTGAACGGAACAGGATACGCCCTAATCAAGTTGGATTCAGGTCGGTTGTGCTGACCAAATATTCACGGTAAGAAGGGTGTTAGAACATCGCTTCAAATATCTATAACGCCGTTCCATGTTTCATTGGCTCTGCCTTCGATTCAGTTAATTAATTAATTGGCTCTGCACCGTGCCGTTTGGAAATTTTTTACGCTTGTAGCAGTTGGAGTCAGCCTAGCCAATAATGATATTTTATTTCATTAACAATATTTTATTTACAGAGTAATTAACCAAAATCAAGAATTTTTGAGAAATCATCTTTATCACTGTGCTGCATTAATAAATTTCTAATCATTGATAAACTTTTCGAATTCTCTAAATTTGAAATCTTTCAAATTCTTAGGTAGGCAAGATTTTTTTTCCATTTTGAAAAGTTTATGGTGAAAAATAAAGTAATTTGATTAGTTGATTCTTTGATAGCTTATCGAATTTTTTCGTGACGATTCCTTAAATTGTTTCTGATGAGATTCGACTTCCTTTAAAAAAGCTGTAGATTTGGGAGATTCCGCTCGATTTTTGAATAAACATATAAGGTCGAGTATATTTGATGTTAAAAGCCAAAAAAATTATCCTAAAAATCAATTCAATTTAGCGAGATTCTCGTTTTCTTTATGAACAGAAGTTATGGTTATGCTACGATTAACACATCTATTAACCATTATTGGTTAATTGCTAAACAACCAAAAAAAATGGTATTTTTAGTTAACCCGTCAAAAGTGTGGAGAGAGATCCAGAAAGCTGTTGATAGTCCCAACTCTTTCAACCGGTAAATTCCTGCAACTTGGTTGACAGTCGATATTCCAACAAATGCTATACCAGTAATGCATGTCTAAATGTCTATAGATTAATTGATTAACCACCTTTTGCGAATTAATTAAATTTTCTGATCTTTCATATATGTAAAAAAACTCATTTTTGGTGTGGAAAAAAGGTGGTAAAAGGTGGTAATAATAAATTTTGCCTGAATGAAGAAGAATTTTTCCTGTCGCCGATTGAGAATAACTTGTGTCGGTTTATTTTGTTCAAGCTTCTGCAATTAATTTGTTTCGTTGAAAGTTTTACCTTAAGCTATTATAGTTATTTGGCTGCTTGCTTTTATAAATTAACCTTGTTGAAAGATCGTAGTTTATAAAATGTTAATAAGTCAGTAATCATGGTTAAGACAGATATTATGACTATCATATATCCTCCCGTCCAGAACGAAAGTATACGCCCGCATTCAGTGTTTTCAAAAGACCATAAGTGGCGTTTCAGATCAAAATAAAACTGACATCCATCTGAAATAAATAAATATATTTTCCTTTCATCGAAATCGGCGGATATCCATTGTAAGAACATTTTGCAACAACTTTAAATATCGGATAATATCAAATATAATTTCAGAATTAACGATAAAACGATGAAAATTACCGATAAAATTCGTAATACGGATGGAAAGTGCGAATAACGATGTGAATGCAATGCAACCGTACGAGAAACGTTTAGTGAATATTGAGGAATATGAAACTGGGAAAGCTATAGAACAGTAGCGATTTACTGCAATCACTAAATGAAGAAAAAATGTTGAATTGCAAAATGATTTTGCTATTGTAGCCAATAGTGCGCTCGCAATTGACAATTTGAGACATTTTTGACTGAAAATTTATCATATGTATTCACCACTGATAAAAGGAATCAGATAATGTGAAGATTAAAATGTATGAACTAGTGGTCGCGAAACTCGCCTCTACGAGAGCGTCCATGAGAACTGTTGGATCTATGCCGATTCTCAGAGGAAGCCTAATTCGAATTACTGTGATTATGTAGATTTTTATTAAACTTATTCAAACTTTTAGAAAAATTTAATAAATATTTTAAAACCATAAAATTGCAGAAGAAGTGATTTATATGGTTTCCTTTATGATTTCCTTTTATGATTTCCCTTTTTTTTATAATTTCCTTTTTCACTTCCTCGGTATAGGTCGATAGCAGATTAGATTTGGAAGTTATTAATGCTATATTTCGACTAATTAGTTTTAATAGAAACAATGTAAGGAATGAGTTACAGTAAAGAACAGCTTGTGACATAAACTGTGAGGATAAATATTACAATGCAGTTCAATGCACAAAATCCACCACACAATATTCCAAATGAATTATTGAAGCGTTTCAAAGTTCGAATCATATAGAACGATGCCATATTAGCTATGAAACCCAACAAACCCATCTAAAATATTGAATAAAAAATAAAACAGTAGAAAATAATTCAAAATGAAATAAAAGAAACAAAATCATTGCAAAAAAAACTTACCGAAAGAGTTGCCCAAAAACTTATTAAACTGCTTTGAGAATATTGCACCGTAGATGACATCTGCAGAAAGGATAAATGAATAATTATTTATTTTTCGAAGAAAAAATAATCAAAACAGGACGGCAAGCATAATAATAATGTAAAGGCATTCTTCTTCTTCTTCTAAAAGCTCTCACCATTGCTGGTTAGGCTGGCTGGCTATAAAGGTAAGTTGACGTCTTCAATCTGCTCGGTGCGACGCCATCGCTAGTATTAACAAAAGCCATTCCTTTTTCCGTCGTCTAAGTCCATATATCGTCGGTCTCCCTATACGTTTAAAATCTTTCCTGACTGTATCAGTCCAGGTCTTGACTGGCTTTCCTCATTTTTGACCTTCGCTAACCATCACAGGGTTCCGCAAGTAGCGAAATATGCATCAATTCATGTGGTGGACGATGGAGAATATGCCCTAACCAGCGAAGTGTAAAGACATAACAGAAAGAATTGATAAAGTTATTGACAAAATTGATAAAACAAAGTTGGAATATTAATATCGTAATTAAGAGATGATAGAAATTGGTTTGTTTCTTCTAATAGCTCTTATCATTATTGATTAGGCTATCTGCACCGGTTACAAGAATAAGATGCCTCTAAACTTCTCGATTCGATACCACCTTTTTTTCACCGTCTGAACTCATATCGCTGAACCATCTGCACTTTCAAAATCCCTTCTAACTTTTTTTGTTTTTAACTACATGAAACCAAGTCTTTATTGACCCTTTTCGCATTTGGCACCATCCATCACAGAGTTCAGTAAAAATGGTAAGATATCCATCAATTCTAACGACGAAGAACATGGCCTAGTCAGTATAGGTGACGTTCAAGCAATATTTTAAACTAATTAAGGTGGTTGCAATCATGTGGGATTTCAACACGCTCGGCGAACACGCCTTAAATATGGATGGCCTCAAAAATTGTTGCTTATTTTCCACTTTCTGGCTATATATATGGAGTAAACGTGCTAGTTGACCTGTTTGTCGCAAAATGGCTCTGTCATTGCTAAACGAATTATTAACAATCAGCGAATTTTATCAAAAATCGCCGACATAAACCATTTTACTTAATGAGTAAACGACTGAGGAAAATAATAGCCTGGTTTGCATATGTACTTTAGCCAGATAGAACTTTCATTTTGAAAGTTCGCTGTAATTTCATGGTGAAATCCCTAAACAAAAGAACACATTTTTAATTGCGATAATATGGATTATCTTTCGCTTTGCCATTTGGTATAAGAGGGGATTCAAAATATTTGTTGTGTGCCATTTTTCCAGTCCACGATGGACTGGTAAAAATAGGTATTTTATCAGTTTCAGTTTCTTGCATATAAGCCGAAAATATTTTTAATACTTTTAAAATAAAATACTTTTATTTTATTTATATTGACCCTGAATTCAATTCTCGCTGTAGTTGACATTTAGCATTAATACATTTTGCATCATATTGCATTAATTGCTTTATAATTATCAGCAAATGGACTACAATATTCAAGATTTGTGATACGATGCTCTGGGCTGATTTGCACACCTCATGAGTGCCGACAAGCGATGTCCATTATCAATTCTATCACAAAGTTGAATATTGTAAGGGAAAGGACACAACTTTGACACCAGCTCTTATTTCGAAGAGTCTGTCAACACATATTTGTGCCAAGGTATGCTGATAAAATGCCTTTATGAGTCGAATGATCTTCTCTGGAACACCATCATATTCCATTACCTCTAGAGTTTTGCTCTATCAATTGAGTTGGTTACAGCTGCAAAGTCGATGAAACAAATGATGATAGGTTGCTGGTTTTTGAAACGATATTCTAATACCTCTCTTAGCGCGAATATTTGATTAGCATACTACATCTTACTCTGGATTTTGTCCGAAGCTTGATTAGAGCGCTTCTTACGGTTTCGTATTGCTATAAGCTTATTCAGTTGAATGTCGACGAAAATTTTCTCCGAGGCATTTAATAGGCTAATTCCTAATCCCAGAGGTCTGAGAACTTAAGAATTGTGCCACAGCATATCTATCACAAAATTGCTTTGTTCTATTCATCTGATATTAGAGCAGAGCCGTTGAAGGCAAAAACATTGTCTATCCATTCCTAATGCCTATGAGAACTCCTGGCTGAATGTTTATATACCGACAGAGAGTTACTCGCTTCCATTAACAGATCTCGAGCGTTTAATCTGACTCGAGAGCTGAATTGTTCTCCAAAAAGTAATCATTTTCATTTAACAATCATTTTACCAAGCCCGTTTGTATGCTTGTCGCATCTGCCCCTAAGCTAGGGTTATCGGATGCCAAATCAATATAACCAGACCTTTCACCTTGGAATCATTTGGGGGTGTAAATATAGATGACTCTATCACTATTAAAATTATTAATAACGAAAAAATAAAAAAATAAATGAATGTACTGTGTCTTTCTGCGCCATTTCTGTGGATAATGCCAGATTTTGTGCCAAATAAATAAAAATTTTCATGCTTTAATTTATATTGCGCAATTCGTCATTGAAAATAACATAAAATAAAAGAATTATTTGATTATTAATATAAAAAATGATTATTTCATGGAATAATAAAATGAACTGAAAGAAACGCATAAAAAATCTTTAGTTTTTAGAACGAAAATAATAAATTATAATTCGATATTAGATTTTATAACCAATTTAAGATTTTTTTAGCTTTTTTAGTTAGCTTTAATTAGCCTTTAATTATAATTATAATTTAATTATATAATTTAATTATATACTGATTATATATAAAAAAATCTCTTCCTCATCCCCTTAAGATAGCATCGGTCATTTCCTTAATCTCGGGTTCCACAGACTTCTGCACAATACCTCAGCTGTATGGATAGAGATAACCGATGTTGTTCTGAAAACGATTAAAGCCTTTTTTTAGGTTTTTAGGTCTCCCAACTTGATGTCGTTTATGTAGAAAAAATGGCTGGTGAAAACTTGCATACAAAAGTGGATACATTTTTTGTGATTATCTGACTAAGAAAGTTGGACCTAAGCTATTAACAGCATTACTTTGATATATGCACTTAAGTAACTTGCTAGCTGATTTGAGTTGATTTCAAGTACCATTATCCATAATTCCATTGAGTTTTCGACGATCTTTAGGATCCAATTGTTTTTGTATAGAGCCAGATCCATGTGTGGGCATTGAGTCATAGGCTTTCCTAAAGTTAGATAAGATTGGTCAGTGGAAATCTTGAATCTTTAGCAATTACTTTGTCCTATGAGTAGCCAGTGTTTTTAGCTGCAGGTATTACTCCCAATGCCCTTTTGAATTTCATAAATGTATCAGCTTATACAGTCTCGTATTGATGGCTACGACAATTTTCAGGTTGTCGACAGGCAACTTATGGGTAGTTAGACGGCTTTCTTTCCATATGAGGCCAGCCAAGACCAGTATTCTTTATGATTAACCATCTTCCGCAGATTGATTAACCAATCTGGGTGGATGTCTGCCGCAAGCAATCGTATAAACAGCTGCTAGCTTCTTTAGCCAATAGGTGTGGATTGTGTTGGGACTAACTACTTTTATTTTTTTAACTTACTATTGGATGTCAGCAGTTGTGATGGCAACTCGTTCCTGCTCTAAGAGATTGTTGTGGCAGTTTTTTCTAAAGTCTTGCAGCCACTTGCATTAGTGATATTACGAAAATTCTTTTTTTCCCATACTTTTCCAATATTTCTGCTGTTGGCGGCTCTGTTACCATATGGTTTTGCACTGTACCTGCTGTTGTTACTATATGGTTTTGCACTGCAATTGAGGTACACTCTGGATGATTTTTGGAAAACGGATATATTTATCTTTATCTATGCATATTTATCTTTTTAGCCACTGCTTCTCTTGTATCTTTCCATTGTGTCTTCTTAATCTAGCGGTCAGTACTATGGTTTTAGGGCATCTGATGACTACAGAAACCTGTGGTCATTTATGTTTTCCTGGATCTTGTTCTCAAACTTCTGTAATTCTGTCAACCAACCGGCTTCATTGCGTTGTACTTTGATTTTATTCTCCAGCCTCATTTTCCAAGGACGACGTGTGTTGGTATTCTTCTTGATCCTATATCGAAGCATTTCCACAATTACAATAGCTATGGTGTATTCCAGTTTACTAGTTTCTATTATTTTAGTAGTAAAAATTGTTCTGAGGGTACTATTTGTATCTTCAAGTTTGTTATCTTCACTGATAGATCTTGAGAGTTCAATAATCGATCTTAAGAGCTAATTACAGCCAGTTTACTCATGATTTTTTGCGTGATATTCAACTTTTTGGAACAATGGGGATGCTGGAAGGAAATTTCCAACATCCCAGTTGGATGCATATTCCTTCTCTTATTTCTTATATATATATATATATATATATATACATATTTCGATTATAAATGACTACAGAAACATCTATCTGGTCATTTAAAGCAAAAATAGTCCCAGTGATAATTGAAGCACTAGCAAATATGTCCTCTAAACTGAAAAGTGGCTTCAACAGATTCCAGGAACATAATCAGAGATCTCCGTCTAGAAGAACGCACTGCTAAGAATAGCTAAGATACTGCGCAAAAAACCCTTAAACTTGCATTCCTCTGAAGCACAAAGTTGTTCTCATCCACTAGGGGGTGAGAAAGATATTTTTTTAAAAATAAACCTTTATGGCGCAAAATTTGCCAGGTCCGACAATTCAGCAGAGCGAGTCACTCTCTTATATATATTAGTTTATTTTTCATTACAAAAGAAAATTCTTTTTTGTATTGCATTATATACATTATATACAATTGATAGAAACTTCGGTTTTAGTAATATCGAGGAAATAGCTGAAATTTTTAGCAGAAAAATTCGCAAATTAATTGAATTTGAATAAAAATTTTTTAATTCATTGCTTTAAAACATTTTAATAATTTTTTTTTATATTTTTTACAATAGATTTTTCTAAGATTATTTTAAGATTATCATTATAAGATTAAGTTTAAGATTAAATTAAAAAATCAAAATAATAAAATTGCTGGTATTCTAAAAGAGAATGAATAGAATCGCAAAAATTGCCATTTATCAATAAAGAAATTCTTAACAGTGAAATATATAACAGTGAAATATATAACAGTGAAATATCACCTTTAAAGTATATAAAATCGATGATAAAAAGATTATTAATATTATTATTACTAAAATTGTTTCTAAGTTTAAAAAATTAAAAAATTAACAAAATTAAAAATTAATTAAAAATTAAAAAAATTAAAAATTAAAAAATTGATTGATACCGAAAAATTTTAATAAATTTTTATAAATTAATTTCATATATAAATAATTAAATTTCATATATAAATAATTAAATTTTTTATATATTCGCTGATGAAATTTACAATTTCTGCTTAAAATTTTAATAAATTTTTATAAATTAATTTCATATATAAATAATTAAATTTCATATATAAATAATTAAATTTTTTATATATTCGCTGATGAAATTTACAATTTCTGCTTAATTTATTTTAGTTTTGAATTTGGAAAAAATATGACGTTAAATAATTTTAAATTTATTATATTAATTCATTAAATTTAATTAAATTTATTGAAAATTTAATTGCCTTGTAAATCTAAATTAGATTCAGTTTTATTCTATTAGTCTCTTTCTTCTTCTAACAGCTCTCACAATTGCTGGTTAGGCTGGCTCCAACGGCTAGAAAGGTATGACGCTTCCACGCGGTACGGTCTGGTGCCATTGTCGACAGTTATAGAAGCCAGTCCTTTTTCCATCGTCTAAATCCATATATTGCTGGTCCACCTATACGTTTAAAATCTTTTCTCACCGTATCAGTCCAAGTCTTGATTGGCCCACCTCGCTTTTGACGCCATCCATCACATGGTTAAACAAGTAACAAAATATGCGACAATTTTTCTGGTTGATGACGGAAAGCGTGCCCAAACTAGCGAAGACGATGCTCTGTGATAATATTATTAATGCAAGTGGTATTTGAACGAAGGTAGATGTGATCATGTGATATTTCATCCGCTCGACGGACCCATAAAATGTACCTTAGACAAGAGTGGTCAAATGTAAATAGCTTCTCAATATCCTCCACTATCATTGGTCATGTCTCAAAGCCATATAGCAAGATCGAACGAATCACGGCTATATAGATGCGGACTTTCGTTATCATTTTTTTTCCGATCAAACTTCTTCACTCTTTATTTTAAATTTTTTCAAGGACTATATTTTTATTTTTTATCATTTATCATTTCATAATATATCAATATGATTTTTTGATGAAATTTTGCCGATTTTTATTTCACTTTAGCGATGATGATTGGTTGGTATTGAAAAATTAATAATTTATTATTTTTTTACTTGCTTATCCATTCATTATTTTATTTGCTTATTTATTTAAATAGATTGATTCGAACAAAAACTAATAAAAATACAAATTTAACAAGTAGAAAATCCAAATAATATGACGCTATTTTTTTATTCTAAAACACAAAATATCTTTCTTGATAAGGCAACAAGACCATTAATTTGCGATAAGGCAATAAACTGTTGAAAAAAAAATGAAAAAATAAACAATCCATTCGTAAAGGAAATGTATTATTATTTCCAAAATTACTGGTCGGTATTTGAATTCAAGGATTTCCAGATGAAGATTCGTTGTCGATTGGTCGGTCTACTTGGAAGAAAATTGATGGCGACTGGTCGCTTTGCGATAAATCATTTCGCAAGAAACTATCACCGTTTATTTGTCCCAAATGATTTTGTTCCAATCCTAACTCACTCTGAAAATATATTCTTTAAAAAATAACATTTTCAGAATTATAATTACTAAATCGACATATTACATGTTCATAATATAATATTATGAAGAAATAATATCGGTAAATATTCGTAAAAATAAAGAGATTAATCGTAAATTAAGCTTATGTTAACTTAAGATAAAACAGAAAGAAAGCATAAGAAGAAGGTGGCGCGTTTGATGGAACTTGAAATGACCTAGCCAGAAATGAACGTTTTCACACTATGAAAGGTTAAATATACGTATAGGTATGCAATGAGACTTGAAACTTACATGAAAGGGAATGAAAGAGAGGAAGAACGGGTGTTAACAGAAAATTAAAGGGAAATAGCAAAGTATTAAGGTAAAACAAAGAGGCTTGACGATTTAAGCGGAGCAGATTTATTTAGAAAATATAAATATAACGGAATTCATTTCAGGGATTATGAAGGAGATCAGGAATGTCAAAAATCTTGATCCTGATCCCTTTTTCCATCCTTATTATTCGACCAAAATCCAATTATTCTCTGATTCCTTTAATAATCAAAATTTCCGTTAACCTTAGGTAAATATTAAAAGCTATATTATATATATTACAGTCTAACGTATAATAGCTATATTACAGTCGACGACTGCGATTATGGTTCGCAATTTATGATTTGATAGATTGCGATATAGAACAATCGTAACTGCAACCTGATACACTGACAAAGTAATATGGCAATTTTTTATAGGGCTAAAGCTTCATGCCTTTTTTCAAAATGATTGTATGGATCGATGGGAAAGTTCCTCATTTTTGATGCAAATAATAAAATTAGAGAGCTGTATGATCAAGTGTTGTTCTTGAATGATTTAAGCTGTGGTTCCTGAAGATGAAGTTCGAACTTAATCGCTCATTAATTAATTGAAGATCAATTGAAATTCACACCTGGATTTGTTGTTTTTGTAATCCTACGCTGTTCAGATCTTGCCGCATAGCAGACTCTGCTTCATTTGGCATACCATTTAAAGGGAAATTAACTGGCTGTATAGGATGAGTATCTGAATTGAAACCTTTCGCAGAATCTGAATCTTGAATAGGTACAGCCGGAATAACAGGCATTTGAACAGTATTTTCAATGATGGGTTCATTTGCATTTTGAACAGAGACTGGAGTATCAATAGCATTTAGTGATCTCGCCGGGATCCAAGGAAAATCACCGGCAGAAGGAGATAAAATAGGCCCCTGCAATTATTTTCTTTAAAAGATGAAGATGAAATGAAGTTAACATCAATTATTGGAAATATGGTTACTGGTTGTTGAAAATCGCCTTGTGGTTGTGGAATGAGTGGGTCCTGAGATTGTTGGAGCGGAAATGGAATCAGTGGTTTTTGCTGTTGTTGGAATTGAGGTGTTTGTCCTAAAGGAAAATTTGGTTGCATAAAATTTTGAGCGGTGTTCCAACTCGTGATGGGTGGTTCATTAAAGTTCACCTGAAATTTATAATTTCCATTCTTTTGCCACATGTTTTTTAAAATTGAATTGAATCAAAACTAAATTTTCTTATTATATAAGGACCATCAAAAAAGAAAAAAATTTATTGTATTACTTTAGGAATATTCCATTCGTTAATTGGTTTATAACTGGGTTTCCACTGATTAACATCATCTGCCCACCAGTTCTGAAATTGGTTGCTTTGACGATCTGCAAACCAAGCTGAACTCTCGGAGTTAAAGGGTGAAAAACTTTCTCGTACATTGAATGAAAGAGGATTTATTGGTGGGACGAAAACAGTTGGAATCCATTGACGAATGGCTTGGTTCGGGAAATTAGGGGAAGGCAAATTTTTTAATTGATTGTCCACAATCCAAGGTTGCTCATTATTGTCTATTCCTGTAAATGAATTGAATAGCGGTCCCATTAATATTGATGGTGACGATGGAGGCGCCGATATGCCGTTGGGCATAGACATCGCGCTCAAAGGTCGCCAATTTACATGATTGTGATGCCACATTCGACTGAAATTGTGATGATGCAGTGTTCATTCAAAAAAATGACTTGCAAATTTAATGATAAATAATTATGAGATTGTTGAAACTTTTTAAGCAAATATATACATGGTTTCCTCAGATTTCTTATTCAAACATTAGTCATTTTCTGTTTTATTGGCCATTCTTAACTACTAGGATAAGAATTCAACGAGTATGCCATCTGGGTGCAAAAATATAGGTGACTCATCACTCGATTTCTAATGACAGGTTTACTTCCGTTAAAGAACAAGAAGACTGTGGAGAAACAAGAAACAAAGCTATGGTGCCTCAGTTGGAATAGACCATTCGACCATCCATTACCAAATAAGAAAATTGATTAAATTACGACCTGTTATGGTAAACTTGCAATAATTAGAAAGGATTGTGAAGAATCTCGGAGGAAAAATGCTGCCTACTTTATCAGTTTCTGCAGTGTATTAGTAATAGTGAAATATTTTTTCCTCAAAAAATCGAAATCTACTTATTTAGCTTTGATTTTTTACCTATGATGTTATTAGCTATAAAATAAGAATTTGAAGAATTAAAATAAATATATTTCATGAAATTTGAACCGAAAACTAATTTAGCAAAATGTCCGACATTTCTTTTAAGAAATTTTTTCTGGAATTCTTTTCCAGGATAATTGCATCCCTTTCAGATTAAAATTCAGAAATTAGGGTGCAATCGTTGAAAATTAGAAGACCAACTTGCCATCGTCGTTTTCTTCAGATGATATGCTGTTTTTCATTGAAGGCTGACCAAAAATTGAAGTCTTCTGCATGAATGGTTGTTTGATTTCGCCAAAACCATCAAGAAATGAAGATCCCTGATAATTTTCACATATTACGTTGCATGTATATTTGTGAATTTATAAGAATTTAATATGTGATGTAATAAATTATATAATAATATAATTCATTTAATCCTTTTCGTCCTTCTTTTTTGGTTATTTTCTCTTTTCATCCAAATAAATACTAAACTTTCCATGATAGCGGAAACGATTTTATCAAGTGTTCCATGTGCGATTTATAAATGTACTAATAACACATATATCTTAAAAGAAACTAAATATACATGCAATTTCAAATTGAGAGGTACCTGACATTATTTTTATATTTGTTGTTTAAGATGATGAATGTAATAATATTTAATCATCTCGAAAATATTACCATTAATGGCATATTTTCTATTGGATTTATCTTCATGACAGATATTTGCACGGATCCATCAAAACCTTCCTTTTCAGCTTGCTCGCGAATTCGCTCTAGAATATCACGCAGAAACCCAAGCCGATTTTCCTGAATGTAACAATTAATTTAGCCGATATAATAAAATTGTCGATATCTTTTTATATACCGTTTAATTGTTGTTTTATAAAATTTTCGACTTTCGAAAAACAAATTAATAATTGTGTGGTCAAGAAAAACCCAATAAAACTTATTGACTAAGTCCAAAAAACACTCCCTCCGGATAAGTTATATTAGGAATAAAATGCGAGTCATTTTTAGCCCATAAAAATTTTTATAATAAAGCAAAATAGATACTCCATGTATGGATTTTGATTTCCCATCAGCTGAATCCAATGCTGGCTCAGCCTGAATTGCCGATTCAGCTCCTTTTGTTATAGGTGCCAAAGTCTGCGACATTTCCAGTCGACTAGAATTTAATTGAATTGTAACAAAAAATCTTAAATGATAATATCAATGCTATGATGCTATGATATTTTTTCATCAAAAAAATATTTTGAGACAAAATGCTGATCCCTAATGGAAAAAGTTTCAGTAATACTTTTAGCATTTGAATTGTAAATACGATTGAACCTGCTTTATGTCTATTTATTTTTTTAATGAATGATCACTATTTCTTTGCTTCATTGGCTCGATGCAACGAATAAATTTTGCTATGGTGCTTGCCAAAAGAAATACAGGTGAGTGGGTCACCAAAACCATGCGAATTTTTAAAAATACAGGTTTTATTCTTGCCGGGATTAGAATCTAATCACTGGCCGTGTGCTGATAGCAATAGCCTACTAAAATTTTCTAACTCCTTATAGGACAAAGATTTGAAGCGTTTTCGGCAGTGAAATTTATATATCCCTATATATATTTATGTAATTCAATTTTCGCATATAAATATTTCAGTACAAGTCAAATAGGACAGTACAAATCAAAAATTTTGTGGTGCACAAAATAAATTTTCATTACTTCTGTTGATGTAACGAATGTGCAATGCGTTGAACATTCATGCATTCATCGCAGTATGGTCCGAGACCCATTCGATGCTTCAATTCAGCCCTTAAATTTATCAGAAAAATATGCCATTTTATAGAAATTTTATTTTCTAACTATTTGTGTACACAAGGAATTTAAAAAAATCAAAATGAATCTCATAGCACTTGCAGCCCATTTGGTTGTATTTGCAGATTAATTCATAAGATACTAATTTATAATATATTTAAAAGTCACAGGTAGGTATGAAAGATATAAGTAAATATTGGTGTAAGTAAGAAAAGGTTTTATTCAAGTATGAACGAGTGTATACTATTTCACGTTTCAAATATATGCATGCATACCATTTCAAATTATGTGACAAACCCGATAACTTTATCAAGATAATCGTTATTCAGCCGTAAACTGTGACTGGTTTCTTCCTAGTATAACAATTATTTTGGAAAATATTTATTTGGAGCAAACTAATATTTTGATATTAAATTAATATCAAAATTTTTTCTAAATATTTCCAAATCTTAAGTGGTAGTAGTGGTTCGCATCAACTGCAAACTGCAAAGTGATTATTTTAATCAATTACGAAAAATGATGTTAAGATCATAGAAATTTTATTCCTCCTCTTTCTCTTTCCTTCTTTATCGGCATTCAACATTATTGGCGAGGCCGATATGTGTCAGAGAGTCTCTTGCGAGTATAGAGTGTACAGATGGTGTCTCCTGCACCTGGAAACTTTTTGTGGCAAATTTACTCCTATCAAGAAGTAAGGGAACGAAATAACGATGCTTGATGCTGATGGAAGCAAATTTCATTCGACTAGAAATTTTGCTAAATTTTTTTATATCAAAATCAAAACAACTATAAAATTTAAAAAATGGAATTTTACGCAGACCACTTAAGTCGGAGGAAATTCTCGTCGCGAACTCGATTGTACGCCATTTCGCTTATAATAATTGCCAGTAGTAGAACAAAAAATAAAGTGGTGATACACATCATGTAGCCCTTGAAATTCTTTTGCATTTCTTTTCAATTTCGGAAATATTTTTCAATAATTGAATTTTATTCTATAAGTGAAATAAAAAAGAAATTCTTACTATTTTACTCAAGTCTACAGCAACAAATAAAATTTATTAAAAAACGGATGAGAATACCTTATAAGTACTTCGTCTTCTATCTATACTTATTACAGGTGGTAGTACTGGAGAAGTATTCGATGGTTCGTTCTCCTTTGCGGTGGATTTCTCATCCAAACCGACTGTAAAGATTTTCATCACACCAGTCTGAAAAAAAGATTATAATGATTATATCATTATCACTGCATTAAATATCACGAAATTATAAAATTATGGGGCGAATTTGTTAAAAAACCAAATTTTCCTATTCGATTATAACGAAAATGTGTCAAATTTAAAAAAAAAAATAGTTTTGACAATGTTTCGCTCTTTTTTGTCTTTTATCATATTTGAACCCATTTTTCCTCGTATTTTTTTATTTAATATTTAATAAATTTCTAAAGACAATCTTTGCAATAAAATTAGAAATTGAATAAAATTATGAAAAAAAATAAGAAAAAAGTTTTCAAAAGCTCAAAATTTAGGTACAAATCCAGTTTCAAATTAAAAATAAAAACTTTTTTTATTATTTATCATTTAAAACATTTCATAATAGACAATACACTAATCTTTTTATTATATCCATAATTTTGCAATATTTTTTCGTATTTAAAGAATAACACTGCGGTAAATGCAAAAGCGAATAGGACGGAGGAAAGAAAATGAAAATGAAGAGTACCGCATATTTTGCCTAATTAACAAAAAATTTGTGATTATAAATCAATTGAAAAACTAAAGAAATAAAAATCAAGTTAAAAATTAAATTAAGTTAAAAATTAAATAAAAAATAAAAACAAAAAATAAGTTTTTTTAAAAAGATTGTTTAAAAAAACTTAGGAAAATAAATTTTTCAAAAAAAAACGAAAAATCATAGGTGAAATTTTATTATCAAACCAAGCAATTTTTTTGTGAAAAATTTATTTCAAAGATTATTTAGAAAATGCAAAATGACTCAGTGGGTTGTTGTGCTTATTTTCCTTTTATCTCGGAGATCTATTCCTGCTGAACTATTCCAAAACTCACTCACCTATATTTCTATATTTTTATCACCAAATAATTCCCTAAATAAATTTTTCTGGCCCAAAGGACGACGTTCCTAACCAAAAGTGGTGAGTGATCGTATAAGAAAAAGAGATTATTTAAGACAATGCAGAAGAAACCTTGGCTCCACAATAACAATGATTTATATTTAAATGAAGCAGCAAAACAAAACCTAATTAAAGTGTGAAAATCTGCCAATATATTAGAAATAAGAAATATTGCAGAACTCTATTTGACAACTATAAATAAAAAGATAGGACTTTGTTGGTGATAGATATACATTATAGGAAAAAATCGGAAAATTTGCGCTTCGAATATGTTCATAAATTAAATGGGATCCATATTTAATAACCTGTTTTTAACAGATTTTGAGTCAGTCGAGGCATATGATAATAGTCAATAATCAAGTTTTTGGTAACACCCGTAAATTTTCTATGCATTGAAATTTGGAGAAAGATATAAATATATATTTCCTGGAATCAGGTAAAAAATTTTAAGCCGATTAAAATACGACCAATATTGCTAAAATTGCAGTTAATTCCGAGATTACTATTCCGATAAATGTAAACACAATAAAAATATGAACCTGGCCCAGATAATGGCCCAAATGTCCAGAAGGTATGAATGTAATTTACACTTACAATTTATAATTTACATGAATTCAAATTAAGTTCGACTTTCTGTTAATTAATTAAGAAAAGAGTAGTTTATCACCCAATGTGTATATTTGCGAGTTAATTTTTTTTAAGAGCATTCACCATTTCTAATTAATCTCGCTCCATTGGTTTGATGGGCAAGACAAGATTTAACAAAAAAATACGTGATATTTAAGTGAATCGCCATCGCAGAATCGCATCACCCGAATTTGTGAATGAACAGTTTTACACCTACCGGGAATTGAGAAAACTAATATCATGCTGTATCAGTAATATCAGTAAAGATAGTTATTCTGATTATAATTGAACCTAATTTGTTTTCGCTATCCAAAGTTGTCGATAGACAGTTTTCTTCTTCCAATGAAACCCAGAAATAATATGGAGATTCTCATGGAAATAAGTAATTTCATAAAGAATTAGAAAATTTTTAGGATGATACGAAAGATTAAAGTGAGATGAAGCAAAAAAAAGTTGGCAAATATTTCAATAAACGAGCAGTCTCGATTGTCAAAAACTAGAGAATGCTAAATTACAGGCAAATTTAAAAGAAATAAGGGCGAAGGTTGAAGTTCGATAGGAGAACCAGTTTTAACAATCGTATTGCCTCTGAAAGATGCACGTACTAAATTCACTGCATCTTTAGTGTTCTTCAGGAACATTTTTGTTATTAGTTATATTTCTCGAATATTTTTCACTATTTGCTCGAAATTATCAGAAAAGTTTGTCTTCACAAAAGACAAATACAACAAACATAGAATCGTGGAATCAATGGGAATTCGTTTTGATTTATTAGTGTTAATTTAAAAGAAATAATTAGTATTGCGAAATAAAACAAAATATTGAATATTAATATTTTACTTATTATTGTCTACAATTTTAGTACCATATTATCGAAACACTAGTAAAATCGACCTGAAATATTTAATAATAAAATATATAGTACATAATCATACATATTGTTGGAACCCCGAATGAAATTTTATTTTCATTCTTCTTTCAAAAATATCTTCTCGAAACACTATTAATTGCTAATTATGATTCTCGTAATTACGAGAAAGTTTTATCAGGAAATTTCTTCAGAAAGTATAAATCTAGATGATATTCATTCTGCCAGCTGATGACCATCTGGTTATCAATCATAGTTCTCTACGCCTACTCTTCTATCCTCACTTTTTAGAGCATTCACTTCAAAGTAATGATTTAATCAGTAAGTTAGCTCCTTTTTTAACCAACAGTTACCAACAGTTGCAGAAAATTATTACAATTTTAAGTCATATATTAAGATTTTCTTTTTAAATCATAAAAATTTTTGAAAACAGAATAGATTGCTTTCATTTCACCGATGAACGCCTTTGCTAGGACACCATTCCCGGCACAAACAAACTGTCTTCCAAGAATCCGAGTGATGCTGGGCTCATATGGTTCTCTAGTGAAATATACTTAATCTGACAAGCCAAATCAACAGGCCTAGCCAGAAATATTTCCAGCATTTAAAAAGGAATAATATTCATTAAACATTCATTATCAGTTGGTGAAGATGGTGAAAGTACGATTCATATCGGCTTCATATTAAATTCAATTCAATTTTAAGAAATCGGTTGCGAATTTATCGAGATGATTTTAATTATAACGAAGAACTTGCAGAACTAGCTGAATAAAACTGAGCTAAAAGTTAAACTAAAATGACAAACACCTTTCTTAAAGATTTTCTTGGATGCGAACCTTTCTATTTACTTTCGTAAAGACCGACTGAAAACAAAGTCACTTAGATTTGGTGGAAAAAAATTAAAAAATAAACCACTAAAATTTAAATTACATCGATATCGATCGCACTTATATAATATAAAATAAAGATTAGAAAAATTCTTATTAAAAAAAAATTTTATATTGCTAATTACTAAGCTGAGAAAAATTCTTGCAAATTATTTCATTTCCATTTGAAATTTCATGAAGCAAAACAAAATTTTTGTAAATTTGGTCATCGAAAAGGTAAACACCAACGACAAATTGCAAACATCTCTTTAGTTCATAAACACCTTTGTAACAGCTTAAAAATATTCGTTTTATATAGAATTTCATTCAACTTTCACTCATTATCTTCCATTTATTACCTTATTTTTTTCCTAAGCTTTCACCATTTAAATTTGTTGGGCTTGTTGGACCAGAAAAATTTTTCCAGAAAATCATTTGACGATAGAGGTACCGATGAGTCGTCTGCATAATCCGCAGTATATGTGGCTCTTAAGCTTTAAATTTAATAATTTTGCATTTCACATTTTTATCCAGGCGGAATCCATCCATGTTGACGACTTTTTTTACATCATGGATAATTTCCATAAGTTTTTACTTTAAAGGTTCTAAGATTTTTGATTTTCATTTTTACCATGAAATAGCAAGTTTTTTTAAGTTTTTAAGAAAAGAAAAAAAGGAAAATACCAAACGAATAAGCTATCTAACAAAAATTAATAAAAACAATTTTGAGGATAGAATGTCTCATGGTATTGTTGCCCTTTCTTTGGAGAGTCGATACTGGGGTACTACTACAAAGCGCCTTTCAAAAAAACCCAGCTTTCAAAAATTCGAACAATGTTGACGAATCATTATTTTTATGTCGCCAGGACTTATTGGATAAAACAAATTGTTGATCCTTCATTCTATTCAGTTCATGAATTGATCAAACACTGAATTACTGCAAACTACCAACTAATAAATGGGTAGAATGTTCAAAATAATGAATCAACCAGAGCGCATTCCACCGGCGACTATTTCAAACATAGAAAAACGAGGCAAAAAATTTAAAGAAATCAGAAATGGCTATTAATTTAATTTATAAAAGTTGTTCATGAATTTAAGAAAAAATTGAGGTTTGATGGTTGAGTTATGAATTATTTTGGCTTTTTTGGCAACCGCATCGATTCGTTTCATTTGTTGGTATTTTTATTGTGTTTTAATATTAAAACACAATAGATAGAACAGCCTAAAAATTAACTGATCGAAAGTATTCAACTAAAATCTAATAAAAAAAATTAAATCCAACACGCTGCTTAGAAGTGCTCTGTCTCTACGCGAAGCTATGAGAAACTCTATCTGCGAATGATTCTCTGACAAAACGGTTTCATTCTGATAGCTAAAATATTTGATTGAAAAATAAACGAAGGAAATTTAAAAATAAAAATAAGATAAAAAAAATAAAGCGCTTCTGCACATTAAAAAAAATGAATTTTCCCCTTAATCCAACATTTTCTCGCTTTCTTTTTTTTCATAATTTTTCGTATTTTCCACTTAAATCTTCGTGAAGAAAATTTTAGAAATTAATTGAAAAGGATTGATAAAATCATTTTTTCCATAAATATATATAGGTAAACTGAAACGGATCTGCAAACAAATTGAAGCGAACCAAAAAATTCTTGAAATTCAGTCTTATATAAATAATTTCATTCGCATTTACTTATAAGAAAGTAT